ACCATGTTCTTCTTTATTTTCCAAAATTAGGAAACTGCCGGGGAACCAGTAAAGAAAAAACAGAAACAAGGACAGAAAGTCAGGTGAGTCTGTGTGTGGTCTATAATATTGTAGGACCTTTTGTAGGAATTTTCTTTCACAAATAATGCAGACTTTTAATCTGGAAATTGTCTTCTCCCCCGTCACAAGTCTAAAAAGCCTATACACCCATACAGTATATATCCTGCTTCATGCACGTGCTTTTGACGAGCAACTTGATCGTGACAACGATGGACCATGCTTGCGTAGTTTGTATCGGTGTAGAGTATCTGTTTGTTGTCACTGTCAGGGTTACATGTGACATGGTGACAGCACAGGAGCATACCTAGTAGTCACTGCATAACAGGAAGTGTCTCAACAAGGACCTTCATGGCAGGAGCACCAGGTAGAGTTTTAATAGAAGCTGCACATAATTAAGCCTATGTAAGATGTTAACTGGCTTGACTGGGTTTTGCTCTACTTTAAAGCCGCACTCCTGGCAGAATAATAATTTACATACCGCAGTGAGTGTAAAAATTATAATTAGAAAGCTGTGTGCTATGTGCAGCTGCAAAGTATAAAAATTGTACATTGCAGCACACCATCATCCCCTGCATACAACTCCCAGCTTCCGGCACTAAAGAGAGGGAGCAATGCGACCCGAGCTGTTCAGCGCTCTGGTCGCATCACTCGCCCTTCTTCATTATCCTCCATTCAGAAAATGTCTTGTTTTTTTTTTTTTACAGGATATTTATAAAAAATACAAGACATTTTGTGAATGGAGGATAGTGCGAAGGGGTGGATGATGTGACCAGAGCGATGTACAGCTTTGGTTGTATCTTTCCCTCTCCTCAGGAAGCTGGGTGTCCTGCGCAGGCATCAGCTTGCTACAAGGTAAGATTTGTATACTTTGGAGTCGTCCTCTGCACATAACGCCCAGCTTTTTAATGATAATTTACACACCCAGCGTGGTGTGTAAATGATAATTTTTGCCCAGAGTGTGGCTTTAAAGCAGAACTATACTGGCCTCCACTTCAGCAATGCGCGAGTTCCCTTGTCAGCGCTAACCTCTTTTGCTGCTTCTGGATTTCAGCATCTTCACCCATCTTGACAGGCGGGCCCAGATTGATGTAAGTCCCGCACATGAGAGTTCTTTCATCCTGGCAGCCTGCAAATGCCGGGATAGTACACTGAGCTGCATGCTCAAAAATATTTTGTTATTAAATATATGGTGGTGGAGATGCGCTTTTGCCAATCATTTTAATAACATTTCACTCTAATACTGCAATAAAGTCTTTGTTCCTGTTTTGTTTCTTGTTTTTTTGCAGGAGGCCAAGGAAAGCAAAAGGATTTGTGCCAAATGGACAAGTGGGGAGGTTTAGAGATGGTGCACTGATTCTGAGTAGCAAAGATATTCACAAGATTAAACAATCCAAAGTTAGTAAATGAAAAATGACTCCATAAATTCTACACAAGGACTGAGAAATGACCATTCTGATGTCAGTGCACAAGTGAGTGCAGAACGTTGTATCATGTACAAGCAGATTACAGGAGAAACATAAGGACTACAGAGTCTTTTGTATGGAGTACTGACAATGTTTTCATGTGGATCTTGCTGAATCAATGGACACTTTTATCCTTCCACTATAGCCTACCCTTTTAATGGTGAAGGATTGTCTGTCAGATCTCCACGAGCCTTCAACCAGCCGAGCTTTAAAGGACCATCGGTAACAAACTGGCAAATGTTTTGGTGTCCTACCAGATAGTCACTTCTTTTTATGCTTTGTATAAAGTAACTTTTTGTAGACAACTGTGCTGATTTTATTGAATTATATATTTTTAATGTTTGTATTTGGACTACATGTCCAAGTCATGCAGTCGCAAGAGTTAAAATCAAAAATGATCCAAAGGGGCAATGCAGGCCAAACAAAACAATGAAGAGGTATGTCACCAGAAGTATATAAAGTCAAAGTCGCCAGCACACCAAAGTAATTCAGCAAAAGTCCATTTATTGACACATTGCCATTTCAATAACAAGCGAATTTGGGGTCTCGAGGGTACCCCTTCATCAGGCTCAGAATGACAAATGTCACCAGAAGTGTCCCAGTTGGGAATATTTCCACTCTGTTCCTTTTCTGGTGACAGCTCAATATTGGGATTTTCCCTCACTTTTCTTATCAGTGTAAATGGTCACCAGGATAAATAGAGACGGGGGAATATCCCTAGTTGTGATTAATTTGTGGCTTTTATATCTGCCTGGAGTTCAGGATTTGTCAACACAATTCTACCCCCAGCCTGTAATTGGACAGTGAGGAAGCAGCAACAGGCTTTCCTCCTCTTTTGGGACACAACAGTCCATTTACTAATGTGATACAGTCAGCCATTCGTGGGCTAAAGGCTAATGCTTGCAATCAGCTGACAGGGCAGAGTCACAGCACAGTCAAGTAGAATCTTGACAGCATTGTCAGGGTCCACCTCGGCTGCCTAATTGACAGCTCGCTCTGTCTCTCTTCACGTAGCTGAGAGCCAGCTGTACACGTACCCTCCCCGGCGTTTAGCTCTAGCCAGTGCTGGAGGAATAGAGAGTGGAAGAGGAATCCCTGCAGGGGGTAGTCACTGTCAGTTACCACTCTCTGCAGGGAGGACACTGTGAGCTGAGCAATCCGTGGTTACATCAGGGGTGGACAACGCTGGTCCTCCAGCTGTGTTTTAACTACAAATCGCAATATGCCTCTGGGAGTCATGCCTGTAACTGTCAGTCTTGCAATGCCTCAAAGGACTTGTAGTTCCACCACAGCTGGCAGGCCGGAGTTGCCCACCCCTGGGTTACATGATCATGCAGCTCTTTATCTATAGAGCCGGCATGTGACAGCTGCATATTAAAATGCACATATTCCTTTAAGATTTACTAGCCTTGATTGCTATTGTATCCCAGCACAGAACTTCACATCGGAGCTGATATGTTGATGTTCCCTTATCCATTGACTTAACTTGCGTCTTTAGCTGAACTGAGCACCAAGTTTATGGATCACTCTTTCACCTCCGGTCAAATTCTTCGGCTGGCATTTGTTGATTTAATAAAGATATTGAACTAAATATCAATCAAGACATGGACAGTTTGATTGTTGGCAGCATTAGAAGAGTTTTATTCAAAATCTGTAAAACCACATAGATGAAACAGAGATCTCATTCTTACAAAGTGAGAAAGGGGAAGAGAAGCTATTGAACTCTCCCAGTTAGGACATAAATACATTGATGAAGCAGTACAAAATTAGAAAAGACATCATTTATTTCCATGATGGTACAAATATAAAAGTAAACCGTAATCCATCAATGATTTTTAATATGGGGAAAGAGACAATGGAACTAATAAAGCAATAAAGGGAATTTAAGAGCACCTAATATTACAACTGAATAGAATCCAGGCCTGCGTTTACAATGTATCCACCAAAGCAAACACCTAACATTAGCAATAAGCTGCTTTACATTATCCAGCACTGTCTTTTATTCGAACATTACTTGCAGTGTGGTCATGTGGGTTTTCCACTTTAAGGTGCAAAGTCAATTAACCTGTGGATGTTAATCAGGCCTGGTGCTCTTACTGTGACATATTTTATCTATAATAAGCAAGAACAGTTTAGAGAAGACTCGCTTATTTAAAACTAATAAAGTCAAAACCTTTAGCTTAAAATGTTCATTTTGAAATTATCTTAAACTTTAAGAAGTTAATGAGAACCTGCCCCAACGGAACACACTAAATACATAATAATGTGATAAAGTAAAGGCCAGCTACCATACTTAACATTTATTATAAAAAATGTCTAAAAGATTTTTAACATGCCGTTAATTCAGAACTCCGAGCAAAATTGTTCTTAACGCTTGCCATGGGACTACCCCCACACTGCAAGGGTTAACTGTTCGTTTTTTGTTTTTTTTTCTCGGTGGTAAAATAAAAAAAGGTATACTCGACTCATCCTCGAAGCCAGGTTGCTCTTACACCGATCCCTGAAACCTCTCTCCTCTGCTGCAGCGGTCTAAGGTCCCATGAGTCATCACGTCCTATACAAAGTGTCTAGGATGTGAGGACAAGAAGGCTTAGACAATAATAAATGCATTGTCGTGTGTTTTAATGCTTCCTCATGCTGACTTCACTAGCTGTAAGCTTCTTCTAGGCCAATGACTTACTAGATCAGAATTTGTTTACAAAGAATTTTATTGATTTTTGTAAAAAAAAAAAAAAGTATAAAACAGTAAAACAAGTTTAAACAGAAGATAACATTTCAAGAAAAAAGAAGTAAATCGAGCTAAAAAAGGGCTAGCAGATATTATCCATAAGCAAGTCACAAACAATATATGCATAGTGCAACATGAGAAAAAGAGAGGGCAACCACAACAGATATTTTAGGTATTAAAATGTGAAAATAAGGAAAGGATGCAGTATATGTCCCCGAGGTCATTGTCAGTCAGCCCCACAGGCGTGGGTGCAACCTGAGCCCGACCCAAGGGAAAAAACATGACCCCCTAAAGGTGAGTAAACTCATATTTAAAGCACTCATGGCGTTGGAATACAGGGAGGGTCATGCTCAGTGCATACTAAGCTCAGAGAAAAAAAAAGGGAGGGGGGGGAGAATTTGAGAAAGAAAAAACACAATACCAGAGCATTAGAATACAGACATAAACAAAAAAAATAGCAAGGAGAGAAAACAAAGGGGGAATCGTGCGGTCACAATTCTTTACCTCGCGTATCATTGCAAATTTGTAAAGGAAAGCAAAGAGTGGTCTAGATTTAGATGGTGATTATAGTCCAACCATGGAGACCATATTTTAAGAAATTTAGAGTGGGAGTCGTTTATAACAGCTGAACCACCCTTTGTCGAACTTCCCCAAATGATACAGCTGGTTGTTTCCAGGCTTTAGCAATGGTTTGATGGGTGGCTAAAAAAATGAAGCTTGTCAGACGTCTACATGTTTTAGGGAGTTCTGAGACTGGCCTAAGAAGGAATGCTTGCCAGGGATTGCTGACCAAGGTGCAGGACAAAACCGATCTGATTAAATTGTACACTCTTATCCAGAGCTTACGAACCTTTGGGCACTTCCACCATATATGAAGAAACGAGCCATACAGCCCTGAAAATATAAAGGCGAAGCACTCGGGGCAAATTTACTCAGTCTATCGGGTGTCAGGTACATTAGGTGAGCATGTGGCAACTGCTGACCAGATCTTCCCCCATTCAACCATGTCCGGGGACTCTCCCAAATTGGCCTCCCATTTGCTCATGTATGAAAGTTTAGGCGAATCAGCTGGAGAGATCAAAGAGTAGTATAGCATAGAAACAAGGCCCCATGACAATGCAGCTGAACGGTATTGAGACTCTAAAGGGGTAGGGGTAGTGAGCGGATGTAGTTATGGATTTGAAGGTACCAAAAGTGTTCTGACGAGGGGAGCTGCCAGTTGACATGCAGGTTTTGAAAAGATTTTCTGTTGTCTAAAGCTAAAAGATCGTAAACGTAACGAGTTCTCCTCGCAGACCAACAACAAAAAGCAGCTAGATTTTCAAAAGCCAGGGGAAGGAAGGATTGGGGAGAATACTCGACAACGGAAGATTTCACATAGTCCCATTGCATAAGCGAATGCCGTAATGTAGGATCTTGTATATAGGGACGCAAAGAGAGGGGGATCCACAGAAGTTTATAGTTTGGGATGGGTGAAAATTCTACAATGCTAAGCAAAGTCCACATAGGTAATTCAGAGGTAGCGTGAAGTGCCGTCAAAGGTGCAATCTAGGCCGCCTTATAATATTTCCCTATGTATGGGACGCCCAATCCCCTGGATAATTCATGGCAATAAAGAACCTGGGAAGCCAACCTAGGCTTGCCCGACTGCCAAATAAATAGACTAGATCAGAATGTGAATGAAAACCGTAAACTTGTACCTAAAATTAAATGAAAATTAGCAGTGGCAGCTCCCATATGTCTATCCTCACAGTATTACTCTGTACGGGCCAAACAGACCAGATGATTGTGGTGGTGTCTAGTGAATCAGGACAGGCATATCTCTCATGGTCATCGTTCCTAAATAGTGCTGGATTCTATCATAAATGAGTTACTCAACTGCATGTAGAAGACTTTATTGGAGACAAGCAGCCCTTCAATTTACCACAACCATAGTCTGGGTCCTTTGGAATAGAGGCTGTGAGTAAAGAGTGTGTCAAAAGGTTTTTAATTGTGTAGAAAAGGTTTATTGTTCAGAGGTCTAGGGAAATACCGACATGTTTTGCTGATTTAAAAGGCCTACTTAAGCAGCCTTAGCCAGTTTAGGAGGCTTGTGGTGCTTTTCTACACCTTTTACTCAATCAGTGACACAACTGCCCATCCTAGCGATCATGTAAGGCTATCCTGAAATGGCTGAATACACAAATCTTTCAAGAGCTGAGATGGTCTCTTCTGCCATTTAGAATTTTATAGAGCCATTTGACTGGTTTAGAGAAATTAGTTTGTCTAAAATGTTCC